GATCCATGTCAGCTTACACAGGAGTGCATCATGTTACATCCACTGTGACAGAACACACAGCGGGAAATTTACCCAACCACCTTCATTAGGTACACGGATTGTCAGTTCCTTATCTCAATCAACCTCTTCTATGCCCCCACGTACACATTCCCAGAAAGCACTTCCTTCTCCTTCCCCCAGCCTCATCCTAAGGCTCCCCTCTTCCTGATTTGTAGTGTTCCCTGATGACCAGCTCTCTCTCAAGAGATCCACAGTCCTCTCTGTCTCTTTCTCTCCCCTCCCCTCCCCCTTTTGTTCTCATGAGTGGCTTTGCCCTCCTTCTAGCTGCCTAGAGCAGCAACTGTTTACCTGGTTCTCTAATGGCAGAGCTGATTATCAATCATAGGTGTGATAACACACAGGAATTTCTAGATTCTTTCTACATGGATTGCAGTCTGCATGGTGGTTCTTTGCCACTCTGAGAAGTTGTTGAGTTGTATTGTTTGGCAGAACTCTACACTTTACCTGAACACTCTTAAGTACTTGTTCAATGGCTCTTATAATGAAGGTTGCCAAATGGTTTCAACAAAAATACTGGACACACTTGACATTACATCACAATCTACAACACATCTTATTTGGAAAATACTGGACATATATATCTTCTCATTTATATTTTCTCAATTTGTTTCCCAAACAGAAAGCTCAAATACCGGACTGTCCGGTTCAAAACCGGACACCTGGCAACCCTACTTATAATTCTTTTTTCAAAGCTTGAAAGGGGAGGTTCATTTTTTTGCCCCTTTTGCTCCCAATTCTGGTCTTTTATATTTTACAGACATTCTTCTTTCCTGTCCCCTGATGAATTAGAACCAAAATTCCAGTTCCAAACTTCATGTCTCTTCAATGGGCAAGATCAGGTGCCCAGGGCTGAACATTCCTGCACTTCGTGGATTTGAAATCTAGGTCCAAATCTGGACTTCCCTAAATATCAGGGTATTTGAATCTCTCTCTCAAATATGTTAAATTCAAAGTTAAATTTAAACCAAGACCTACATCTGGGGTTTGAATGTAAGGTTTTGTGTTCAGGACATAGCTGTGTCCTCCAGTGGCTCCATTTCTCATAATTCCATTAAACATTTAAAATAATGTGACTTTTCTTTTTAACATATTGCATCAATGGTCCGCCACTAAATACAGTAGCAGAGCTGTAGCCTATGTGTTTGTTAATGAGACCACAATTCTGCACGGCCATCAGAACTTACAGCCATTCAGAACCCCACAGACTTTAGTAAGGCTCAGTTCATGAGCTGGAATCTTGCAAACCCTGGTGGAGTGGAACAACACAGCAGAACCAAAGGCAAAATGGCCTTTTCAGTTTATTGACCATTTTGAAAATTCAGGAAAAATAATTTCTGATCAGAATGTTTTATTTTCATATCAGAATGTTTTGTTTCAATCTGAAACATTTTAAAATATGTTTGAAAGTAAAATTAAAAAGTTCATAACCTCCCAAAAATCAAAACTCTTCTTCAAAATTCTTTTCCTAAGCAAAAACATTGACAACATTGACACATTCAAGGAATGTTTTGCTGTATCAGAATCTGGGGTGGGTTTTTTTGTTGTTTGTTTTTTTTTCTTTTTGGCCTTAAAAAGGTTGTGTGTAAAAAAATGTGCCGAGTTCTGTCCTCAAATTTAAAGACAAATGTAAAGAGTTGTAGGTTTGAGGCTATGCCTTCTAACAGTAGGACACAAAATATTATAGGTCCTATCTTAAACTAAACGGGTAGATATTTTTTAAAAAAACCTGATTTTCAGATACTTTAGGCTCATGCTCTCACCCACCACAGTTCTACAATATCACCTCATTCACCTTGTCTCTTTCATATCTATGGACTAATATTGTTGGTTGCAACAACAATGAAAATAACCTTCAATTCATTCTCAAAGCCATTTCAAAGACTAGAATCAATACGATTTCTTTCTTTTATACTACTGACTAAAAGATACAAAATATGCTGTAGTAAACTTCTCAACCAACAAACATTCTGGAAGAAGGAACAAAGTGTGATTATGTGGTTTAGCCATATGTCAACGCCCCAACAAAAGGCAGCATAGCCACAGTTAACCTGAAACCATGATTATGAGCCAAAGAGAAAAGTTATATAACAAAAAGCAAACAAGTAACAGCTACATTTACTTGAAAAAACAATCACCCACATTTACGAATTTGCACCTTTTATTACATTGCTAGGCAATCAAGACCTACATATAACTTACAAAATTACAAATATAGTGGAAGGATTGTGCTAATTAAAGGGACATGCAAGATACTAAAAGGCATAAATTATTTAAATACACTCTGTAATGGAGCAAAATTTTTGCAAGGATTTATTTGCTCCACCTGCACTTACTGAATTAGCAGACTCAACATAAACAGTCTAGTACTGTGTTTACCAGCTAGAAATGGGTAAAAACAAACAGAATGTTTCCCAAGAGGGAGGCTGCCCTGGGAAGGAATGAAGGAAACCCACTGTATCTAAGCCAAGGTCAGAGGTTTACCAAAGAGGCAGTCATCCTTCTAAGCTCCGCAAAAGAAATCCGCCATAGGTGGAGGTGAGGTGCTACTAAACAGAGATAGATTTCAAAGACAAAATCTACTGCATGGATCAGTGATCTGTTTAGCATTTAGAATAATTTCAGAATATAAACTATTTTTTAAAAGGACAAAGCCATATTCCTCCCACGCAACTGCAGGAAGCAATTGTGTAGGCTGTGTTTACCTGATCCTAATGTGTGATTTCCTCCAGAATACACAACAGAAATATACTCTCCCTCCCCCTTCTTCCCCTTTAAGTCCCTCTCAGTATACCTTGGGAGGAAATGCCTCCTGAAAGCTAATGGCATTCACTTTAATCATGTGTGTGTGGGCAGGTGCAATTATATTTAAGGTTTAAGCATTTGTCATCACCTGAGATATCATTTGTAACCCACACACCGTCCACGTTTTATTTAAATTCTACTAAAGTGGATTCTGGAAGAAGAGAATTTGAACCAAATAGTAAAAAATTAAGGACAAATTCTTCTTGCTGCATACAATTATTAATAACATTAGCATTTATATGGTGTCAGTCTTCAAAACACTGTGCTGACATTCGTTTACTAAACTACTAGAAATGTGTTTACTCTTAGTCTTCATGATTTAACAAAATGGTCCATGTTTTTTACCATGATATGTCAGCACCAGTGATGCGTGCTGTAGAAAACCTTAGCATAGGCGGTCAGATGCCAAACCTCACTTGGCCTCAGCATCTGCACACATCTACATACAACTGCTGTAACATTAGGCAGATGAATAATCCAAATGAATTCAAACTGTAGACAATCTACAACTCTTGTACATTTAAAGAATTAACTTCATTTTGGATTAAAAGACTATGCAAGGAGAAAGCAAAGCTACAGCCATGAAAGACAGTGCAGGAGGTGTGCATATATAATGTAACATTCTTTCCCGAATGAGCCCCAAATAGCTACCTATTTCTTCAGGCAATTCCTGAGCCATTTACGGGAGACAATGCTGTCCAAATGTCCGGGTGCTGGGCTGGGATTCAGGAAACATGAATTCTATTCCTGGCTCTGCTTTTGATTTTAGGTACGTCTCTTCATGCTCCCATGCCTCTGTGTCCTGCTACCTTTTTCCATCATGTAAACTGTAAGCTCTTCAGGGCAGGGACTGTCTCTCTCTCTCATGTCTACGTTAACAAGGGCTACACTGACACAGCTCTGGGGGTATAGCACTGTAATGCATAGACACTTCCCACAGTTATGGAAGAGGTTTTTCCATCATTATACTATCACTACCTCCTCAAGCAATGGTTGATGGAAGCATTTTTCTATGGACCCAGCTGAATTGACACCAGGGGTTTGGTCAGCATGACTACAGCGTACAGAAGTGTGGATTTTTTACAACTGCGTACCATAGCTATATTGATCTAAGTATAGACCAGGCCTTAATGTACGCTCAACACAATAGGGTCCTGATCTTATTTGGCCTCTAACTGCTATGTTAATGTGGTACAAACAAACAAACCACAGTTACATAACTAAATCACACCACAAAAAGAGTTAATATTTGTAAAACTCTTGAAGATGAAAAATACCATAACTTATATAGTCTAAGCATTGCATTCCTATAGATTTTTTGCTACTGAGGACTCAGAACTATAAGCCACTGAGAATATACTTTTACTTAAAAAAACAACACTTGGAATCACTATAATATGCTGTCCTCCTCCAGCAATAGTGTTTCCAGATCTTCCCATAGAGGGGATTGGTTTTAATTAAAGAAGTATTTTACATACATGATAAACAAAATGTCCTTACCTGCATTTTAACAATTGATTATTGAAGATGAGCAAATTTGGGGGAAACAAGCATGCTGGCTTTTCACTGTTAACAATGACTATTTCTTTACATTCCCCTTTGTTTTGAGTTAATTTCACTTTTTCAGTCCCCTGCAGTCGTGTAATGGTGCCTTATTTGAATTGCAGAGAGAAACGTTTCTATTTCAAAGAGCTATAATTTGAATGATAATATAAAAAACCCGAGACATTTCCTGGAAACATTTATATGGAATTTAAATTCTGTGAAACCTAACTTCTGGATTTAAATGGACTTTCCAGTGACCCTTTAAATTAAACATAGGTCCTAATAGGGTTGCCAGATGTCCGGTTTTGAACTGGACAGTCCAGTATTTGAGTTTGCTGTTCAGGAAACAAATTGAGAAAATATATATGTCCAGTATTTTCTAAATAAGATGTAATGTAGATTGTGATGTAATGTCAAGTGTGTCCGATATTTTTGTTGAAACCATCTGGCAACCCTAGGTCCCAGCTGGCAAAGTTTGGCTACAGATCCAGTTTTCATGGGTTAGTTCTAGCTTTTCATTCTCATGGGCCCAAACTGAACCCCAATCCAAACTCTCCCCAAACAGAGTCCAGCTCTAAAATATGGCTCGGGCTTTTAGCTGCTTTAATAGTTCTCATACACTGTGAGAGCACAAATAGATTTATTACCACAATCATTATTATGTACTGTATTGCAGGAGCACTGAGAGGCCCTACTCGGGTTCAAGGTTCAGGGGTGTTTCTTCTCCAGACAGGAAGGCAGGCCGGCCGATGATCTCCCATTCTGAAGATTCAGCAACAGGAAGGAGAGAGTCCAAGGGCAACAAGTAAACATCTGATTACTTAAGTTAGCTTTCTGCATAATTTGGTGGTTCTTATCAATTCAAAGCATGACTATAAAGCAAGAGAGAAGAGACAATTAAACAAACCAGATCTCAGTGATTCCTACTCCCTCTCTTCTTATACAAAAATCACAGGACTCACAGTATCAGATAGTTCCACTAGATGGAGCTGATTAACAGCTTTCCCCAGGGCCAAGCCTACACTTGCAAGTCTAATTGCATTATCAATGACACATGTTGAAACAAGCTCCTTGCTTACAAAGGTGCTCACGTTGCCAGTTTAGACAGGGCTGAGCTGAACTGTCATAAACCGATTACCAAACTATGCTATGGACTGGGCTGACTCACCCTTAGCATGTGATGATGTCAGACTTCCCCTGGTAGATTTTGTAGTTAGAAACCCAGTACATGCGAGTTTGGCAGCAGGAAGGAGGGGCTAAATTAACTAGGGGATAGACAACAGTTTTACAAGGTGGAAGAGCAACGTCTTTAATGACTTCTTTTGTCACTGGAAAACATTACGCCTGCAGTCTTTGGCAAATAATTAAAATATTTCCCATCACTGGGAACTAGAGCTGGTTTGAGGGGCAAGGGAGAGAGACAGTCAGACAGAATGGGCCTTATCTAGATTTCTCAGATGCCAGTTTAAATCAGAAATATTGTGTCATCCTTGTGCTTTGACAGCTGTAATGTATATGCTGAAAAATCTTTTACTAGAACATTGTTTCCCAAATAATGCTCCACAGAACCATGGGGTGCTGCAAAGTGAAAGTAAGGGTTCCATGAGAACCCTTTTTTTTTCTTTTTTTTTTTTTTGGTGGACCAGTTTCCCCAGTTTTTTTTTTAAAGGGTTCCCTGGGCAAATAAAATTGGGAAACACTGAACTAGAGTCACTAGAAGATGCAAGCGGTTGCATGCCATTAGCATGTGTCAGATGCACTGTCCAGAAAGGGTCTGTGCACTAAAGGTATCCATTAGTTGCAGAGGGGAACATCTGGAACAGCATTGAGATGCTTTCATGTCAAGTCAGAGTTTGGAGCCAAAGGGTGGGGATGAGCATCCTATCCTGTGGAATTCAGGCTGCATCGCTGGTATGATATATCTGGTAAAGTCTCTGTCCTTGGGTGCCACATTGTTTTTAAATAAAACGATTGCAAGCCTGGTTTAAAAACATTGTGATCTGCAAAACAATGGATAAAGTGGGACACAGCAGAATAAGAGAAACACTCAACTGAAGTCAGTGGAGAGCCACGAGGATTAATCTGCAGACTTTGGGTTCCAGGTACTTATCTTGCAGACATACTTCTAAGGCTGTGAATATACTGGCAAGATTTTGCACAAAAGCAACTGCTTTTGTGCAAAATCTTGCTGCCTGTCTACACTGGCCGTGAGTATTTACGCAAGAACACTGACGTTCAAATGTACGAAATCAGTGCTTCTTGTGCAAATATTCTGACGCTCCTGCTCAGGGATAAGCCCTCTTGCGCAAGTATTCTTGCGCAAGACGGCCAGTGTAGACAGCCAAGTTAATTTCTTGCACAAGAAAGCCCAATGGCTAAAATGGTTATCGGAGCTTTCTTGCGCAAGAGAGCATCTACACTGGCATGGATGCTTTTGCGCAAAAGCACATGCCAGTGCAGACGCTCTCTTGCGCAAATACTTTTAACGGAAAAACTTTTCCATTAAAAGTATTTGCGCAAAATCATGCCAGTGTAGACGCAGCCTAAGAGTAATTATTTCAAATTGTGAGAAATCGCAGGAACATCACTTATTCTCAAGTCACTCATTACCCAAAGGTGTGAATGGAACTATTTTATTGTCCCATTTTAATTGTTCTATTAACCTATTAATTATCTAATGGAAGGAATTCTGCTTTCTTGGGGATCGCAGTTTACAGTGTAGCCTCAAAATTTAGTTTTGATTTGTACTTAAGTAAAAAAAAAAAATCCGCTTTTTTCACCTTTGTCATAACTTCAGCAGGCCATCTCTTCAGTCAGTGTAAGTCAGTACACAATGTGCCTTTGACTTCATTTGTGGTACGGTGAGTTACACCAGCTGAGGCGGTGGTCATAGAGTGCTTATAGATCAGAAACACAAATCCTTTTATATTGTGCTAAAAACAATAGCCCCTATAACTGGGACTGTTAGGCTTTCTTGCAGTTTAGAGAAGGGTGTAGACAGAATAAAAACAGCACCAACCTGAAATGAGAAATCATAGGTAGGATCAGGATGGCTAAATGCTAACCTGGACCTGTACAACTGTTGTATGGAGGACAGCCGCCTCCTGTAACAAATAGCCTACCCACACCAATGTTTCCGTGCAAACACCACTACTGGCCACTCTTTCAGGTTCTCTCTTCTCTTTATTGCTCTCCTTGGAGTCCTTCTCCCAAACTCCACTTCTGGTCCCTCTGCTGAGCTCGCTAGTTATTCCACTCTCCCCATGCTAGTAATAAAATTCGTGTCATTTGTGCCCTCATCTTCTAGGAGCTGTGCTGGATTGTAGTAAAGGAAGATTGATTTTGTGCCTTGGCTCAAGAGATTGTTGATAAATGTTTGAACTAGCAACCCCAGGAGAATCACACCAGAGAGAGCAACAGCCCCAGCCATGATTCTGCACGGAGGATGTTTTGAATCCATACACCTAATGTCCTGGCCATGCCCTCTCCATCTATTCCCAGTGTATATGAGTGGGGTGCAATGATCAGCTGTAAGTCCTTGGTGAAGCTAAAATTGCAAAAACGCTCCACCACTGGGGGCAATATGTCTTTAAAAAAAACCCACACGAATCTGAGCAGAATAACACTCTTGGATTCAAATCTATTTAATGCTGCTATGAGTTCACATAATGTGGAGCAGCCAAGGCACTCAGTACAGGAAATGGAATTGGAGGGGGAAAAGACAGACCCTGGAAAATTTTGGCACCTGGGATGGGGTTCTTGTCAGGGAACAATCAGGAGATTTTTGGCAGCTGGCTTCATACCTCCCCACGTTTAAACTAGAACCACGTGAGCTGTGACTCCCTCGAGTGGGATTTTTCTGTAAGAACAAACATAAATCAACCCTTCCAATAATTTTTTGGTCCTGCACCATGGTGGAAAACTTGGAATCACACAGAAGAAAACTGATGAGCTGTTTAACATGGCTGTGCAGGAGGGGTATACGAATGCTGGAGACCACAGCCTAATGACCCTGCAACCCACTGGAAATTGCGTGAGAGTGAATGACAGCATCTGGCCCTGTTTAGTAATTGAACTATGGATTTTCCTGTCTGCCTCTTGCTCTCTCTTGCCTCGCCCCCTATAGGGTTCAGAGAAAAGCATTGTCTGTACTGATAACTTATGGAAAGCTGTCCCTCTGGGAGACCTCCAGGGTAGCAGTAGTCATGGCAAGCCATCTCCAGGTTGGCCAGTGGGCTGGGGAGGAGCAGTGGTATTTGGAACTCCACCTAGCAATAAGTAGGAGGCTTGGGGTTTGTTTGGTGGGTGGGTGTATGTAATTAACTGCAATTTTCCAGCTCATTGTTTTTCTTTCAGGTGTCTGGCATGTGGGAACTGATGTTAAGACACCTCCTCCAGGAGCCTGCCAACCCCAGCCCAGATTAAGGCCTGTGGCTGCAGTAGGATATCTGACACATGTCACACTTTATGCTTCCTTTAATTTTTTTAAGGGTGAAATCTTGAGCCCTTGTTTCTCTGCTGCATGAGGAGAACACATATAAGAGCTACTTAGTAGGGCTGTCAATTGACATGTTAATGCCTGCGTTTAATGCAGTCCAGGATTAACGTGTTAATTTTTTTAATGCATTAACCACAGGTGTTAATGCTGTGCTGCCCCTTTGAAGTGCCACTGTGGTGCTTCAAAGGAGCAGTGCAACGTGGAGCCCAGGATCAGCTGGGGACTCTCTAGCTGACCCCGGGCTGCACTGCCCCTTTGAAATGTGCAGAGACGATGTTTCAAAGCGGCTGCCCCTTAGAAATGCCATCTCCATGTGTTTCAAAGGGGCAGTGGAGCCCAGTCAGCTGGGGAGCCCCCAGCTGACCCCAGGTTCCAGGGAAGTGCCAGGTGAAACCTGGGGTCATCTGGGGACTCCCCAGCTGACCCTGCGTTCTGGGGAAATGCCGTGCAGAGCCTGGGATCAACTGTGGAGTCCCCAGCTGATTCCAGGCTCCACTGCCCCTTTGAAACACATGGAGGCAGCATTTTAAAGGGACAGCCCTGGAGCTCGGGGTCAGTGTGGCAGTGGAATCAGGGGTCAGCACAGCATTTCCATAGAACCCGGGTCAGCTGGGGAGTCCACAGAACCCCGGGCTCCACAGCAACTGCCCCTTTAAAATGCCAGAGGTGTTGTTTTAAAGGGGCAGATGTGGAGCCTGGGATCAACTGGTCACTCCAGCTAATTGTGGGCTCTGTGTTGCGCTGCCCCTTTGATGTGCCACCGTGATGCTTCAAAGGGGCAGCACTGAATGGAGCCCGTGGTCAGCTGGGGACTCTAGCTGATCCCGGGTTCCATGCAGCCCTGCCCCATTGAAATGCTGCGGTGGTGTTTCAAAGGGGAAGTGTGCGCGATTAATCGTGATTACATTTTTTAATCACTTGACAGCCCTACTATTTAGTCTAGCTCTGTGCCTCCTAGGGACTCCTAGCATGGCAAAAACACACTGACAATTTGCAGTCCCTTGTCACCCCTAGGCTGGCACAAAGGTGGCAGAGTGAGAGAGAAAATCTGGCCAGCCCCCTTTTTTTTTCCCCAAGGAGTTGACAATCTCTTCATTTTTTCATTGCACGCATCCTGTCTTTATTACAAACATTTCTCAAGAAGAGCTGAGACAAACCAAATGCTTTGGCTGATGTCAGGTCTGTTTACACAGGGTTGGGAGACTGGGAGTTGCTGACTGCAGCAGGGGAAGAAAGCAAGTGGAATGAGCCTTATAGAACAGAACTGGAAGGAGGATGGGGTGCAGCTGCTGTCCTCACACTGTTGGTGTGCAGTGAAATGCTGCAGAGGGCATCCTTAGCATTCCAAGGAGGTGCACTTGTAATTAGAAACACTTGTTTTCCTCCTCTGCCATTGCCCATGGCTGGGTGATCTTGAACAAGACAGTACACCTCAATTTTCCCTACCTCAATTTCCCCATCTGTAAAATAGGGTTAATATTAAACCCGCCTTTGTAAAACACCAGACTGATTGATGAAAGGGGCTATATTTCAACTCCATATTAGTGTGGGCATGGACACTGTTTTACAAATATTTCAGGACCCTAAACTATGGTGACACCATTTCCCCCCCTTCTTTCTCACCATTGTTCTTGCTTACTCCATCTCACTTACAGAGGCATTTTTGTTGCCATTCAGAACATAAAGAGATTGTATTCAAGTCCAGCATCTGTTATATATTGTTTACACTGAAGGGTTCAGCTTTGAGCCAAGATCAAAGCAATTGCTTTAACTTCAGGAGAAAGTGTTCAATTGCTGCAAATCTTTGTGACACTTTTTCATATTCCAGGGTTGCGTGCTGAGGCTCCAGGGCACAATCTCTAGTCAAGCCTCTGGAGTCCAGTTGCAAGGGAGACATGAAAGATCTATGCCCCCCTCCCCCCCCCCCCCCCCCTC